CCCAGCAATTAAATAAACTCGGCCAGGCATGGTGGCTCTCACCTGTAATCCCAGCGCTTTGGAAGCCCGAGGCGGGAGGATCGCTTGAGCTCAGGAGTTTGAGACCAGCCTGGGCAACATAATGAGACCCTATGTCTACAAATAATACAAAAATATTACCCGGGCATGGTGGCACGTGCCTGTGGTCCCAGATGCTTGAGACGCTGAGGTGGGAGGATCACCTCAGCCCAGGAGGGGAGGCTGAAACTGCAGTGAGCCGTGATTTTGCTGCTGCACTCCAGCCCGGGCGACAGAGACTGTGTCTAAAATTAAATGAATAAATCAAGTGCTCCCTCTCACCTGATTGCTTTGTAAACTGTTGGGGAGATTGATTCAGTTGCCATTTTCCTTGGGCTCAATAAGGGCTGGGGTGGGGAGGGCGCAAAGGCCGGGCAGAGCCAGCCCCTCGCCGCATCGTTGCAGATGAGGAATAGCACGGCCGCGAGCCAATGTCTTGTGTCCGTCCGGGCTTCACCCCTCGCAAGTGGTGGCTTTTGGCAAATTTCTCACCTTTTTGATCCTCAGTGAAATGAGGTCAAACTGAGGTGAATGAGGACCTCCTCATGTGAGGGTTAAGTTAGGTGGTACTGGAACATGCTTGGCAAGGGCCTGGCACCATCGAGACAACAAGTGGACGGTGGGCAGAGCACACCGGTGCCTGCATGTATCCATTCATGTATGAGGTGTGAGCACGTGTGTGTGTGGTGTGGGGTGTGAATGCATGTGTGTGGGGTGAGCACGTATGTGCATGTGTGAGATGTGAACACATTGTGTGAGATGTGAACACATTGTACATGAGCATGTGTGTGCGTGTGGTACGTGTGTGTGTGTGAGATGTGTGGTGCGTGAGCACATATGTGGTGTTGATTACACCTGGTGCTGCTTGCCACAGGTGGTGATTTATAGCCATTATCTGCAGGTCAGATTTTCTTCTGTATTTTTGAAGCATTGAACTGAAGAGATGATTTCGTTTGTCCCAGCTGTCCCCGTGTGTCATCGCGTGCATGCTGTGGTTGGTTAATTCAACTTCTTTAACATAAAGGAAGGTTGTGAGACTGTGTCAGACAGCTGGTGTCTGGTGTGTGCAGCCACACAGCCTCCTGCCTGCGGGTGCCACGGGAAGTGAGGGGGTCAGGGCCTGTCCCATGACCAAGTGCCCGTTCTGTCTTGGCCCTTAGGAAAGGATCCAGGCCCTGGAGGCGGAGCTGCAGGCTGTCAGTCACAGCAAGAGTCTGCTGGAAAAGGAACTGCAGGAGGTCATTGCGCTGACCAGCCAGGAGCTGGAGGAGTCCCGGGAGAAGGTGCTGGAGCTGGAGGACGAGGTGAGGCTTGGCTGTCTGCTGTGGCGGCAGCGTGGGGCAGGTCACGTGATCCCTGGGCATGCCACCACGCGTGTGGCCTGAAAAACAAAACTTCACCGTGCGCCTAGCGTTGCTTTTGGTGTTGCCACCTTCTGACCGTCAGCCTCTGGCTCTGTGGTGGGGCAGGCCCTGATTCCAGCCCTCTGGGGAGGGTCACTGTGTTACCGTCTCTTTGGTGGAATGGTTACAGAATTCACGGTGCAGCCCTTCTCAGTTCAAACGCTTTGGTTTCAAATAAGAAACCCAACTTGGCCGGGC